CATGAACCTTTTCTGTGCAGCATATGCAGAGCTGCATCCCCACATTTTGGCTCTTGCTTCTCACAAGCACTCCAAGGCCTACGCCGCAATAGGCCTGGGCTGCTTCGCTGAGGTGTGCTGCTGCTGCTGCTGCTGCTGCTGCTGCTGCTGCTGCTGCTGCTGCTGCTGCTGCTGCTGCTGCTTCACTGCAGGCCCCACACGCCTAAGATTTTGAGGGTAGTATGCGTTTGCTGCAGCACCGGCTGATTTGCTGCTGCTGCTGCTGCTGCTTGGCTGCAGCAGCAGGTTTGCTGCAGCTTTGCTGCAGCGTTCGACATGCTGCTGCTGCTGCTGCTGCTGCTTGGCTACAGCAGCGCGTTTGCTGCTGCTTTCCCGCGACTTTCGAGATGCCGCTGCTGCTGCGCTGCTGCTGCTGCTGCTGCTGCTGCTGCTGCAGGTGTTCCGGGAGATGGGTGCTGCTGCAGTGCCCTACGCGTCGCTGCCAGCAGTGCTGAAGGCTGTTGCTGAAGGTGTGCTGCAGCAGGAAGATGAGGACTGCAGACGCAACGCCTGCTTCTGCCTCAGCGTCATCTACGAGGTCAGCTTCCTGCTGCTGCTGCTGCTGCTGCTGCTGCTGCTGCTGCTGCTATTGGGGCGGCGTTTGCTGTTGCTGCTGCTGCTGCTGCTGCTATTGGGGCGGCGTTTGCTGTTGCTGCTGCTGCTATTGGGGCGGCGTTTGCTGTTGCTGCTGCTGCTGCTGCTATTGGGGAGGCGTTTGCTGTTGCTGGTGTTGCTGCTGGGGAGGCGCTTGCTGCTGCAGCTGCTGTTGGGGCGGTGCTTGCTGCTGCTGCTGCTGCTGGGGCGGCGCTTACTGCTGCTGTTGGGGCGGCTGTTGCTGCTGCTGTTGCTGCTCTTGGTGCGGCCTCTACATCTGCTGGAACTGCTGAGGAAACTCTGCTGCTGCTGCTGTTGCTGCTGCTGTTCTTTTTCTGCTGCAAGCCTTTCGTGGATAGAGAACTATTCTGTTGCTGCTGTAATGTCTGCTGCTGCACCTGGTTTGACCTCTGCGGCGCATCTGCTGCTCCTTTTGTTGCTGCAGCAGCAGCTCTTTTGCCTTTCTGGGCGTGTGGCAGCAGGAGCTGTTGCTTGGCTGGCGCCGTTTTGCTGCTGCTGCTGCTGCAGCTGCTGCAGCAAAGGTTCTTATCTTGTTGGTGTCTTGCAGGTTGCGGGAACGTCTCCAGCTGTTAGCAGCAAAACAATGGAGTTCTTGCGGCTGCTGCACCCCATTTTTAGGTCCCGCGAAGTGAGCTGCTGCTGCTGCTGCTGCTGCTGCTGCTGCTGCTGCTCTTGCTGCGGCGTTTGCTGGTGGGGCTGTATCTGCTGCTGCGGCTTTGCTGCTGGTCGTTTAGCTGCTTTGGCGAGTGAGACGGCCGCGTTTGAGCGCGCAGGCTCGGCGTCGAGGGTTTAGGGTTTAGGGTTTAGGGTTTAGGGTTTAGGGTTTAGGGTTTGGGCCTGCAGGAGCTGAACAAGTCGGAACAAAGCACCATCGACAACGCGTGTTCGGCTGTTGCTGCTATGCTGCTGCAAGAGCCTGCGGGGCTGCCGCTGGAGAAAGTTTTCGTTTTGCTGCTGTCGCATTTGCCCTTAGCAGCAGATCGAGAAGAAAGCAAAATGGTGCTGCAGGCGCTGCTGCAGCTAGCTGCCAAGCACCCCGACTTGGTGCTGCAGCACGCCCAGCAGTTCATGTTTGTGAGGCCCGCCACCCCAGCTAGCTGCATGGCTAGCCGGCTAGCCATGCAGCTAGCCACACAGCTAGCCACACGGCTAGCCAGCTAGCCACGCAGCTAGCCAGCCAGCCACACAGCTAGCCAAATAGCCACACAACTAGCCACCCAGCTAGCCAGCTGCCCAACCACTTACCAGCTAGCTAGCTAGCTATGCGGCCAGACAGCTAGCCAGATAGCTAGCCAGCTAGCTAGCTAGTTAGCTAGCTGGCTAGGTCCCTAGGCGCACTTGGATAGCGGAGTATGCAGCCGAGGCTAGCCAGATAAGCTGCAGATTGGCTAGCTAGCTGGCTAGCTAGCTAGCTAGCTAGTTAGGTGTGCAGCCAGCTAGCTAGACAGCTAGTTAGATAGCCAGCGTCTTAGGCTTAGAGCCAGCTAGCTGCCTAGCCGGCTAGAGAGCCAGCTAGCCAGGCATGCACACGGCTAGCTAGCTAGCTAGTGACTAGCTAGCTAGCTAGCTAGCTAGCTAGCTAGCTGGGGCTCTTGCTGCGTGTGCGCAGGCCTGCGCCTGCGAGGCCTCGTTCCCAGGAGCAGCGCGGCGGCTGGGCCCCGAGCTGACAGCAGCAGCGCAGCAGCTGCTGCAGCAAATGGCCAGAAACCCGCAGCTGCCAGCAGGCACTTTGGAGGCCCTTGCTGCTAGTCTGCAGCAGAAACCCTACGCCCTGGCCTTCCTCAGACAGGGCTAGGGTTTAGGGTTTAGGGTTTAGGGTTTAGGGTTTGGGGGTTGGCCTGAACCCCAAACCCCACACCCGGGTACAGTCTTTATTTCCTTCGTTTGCTTTGCATTTCGGTCTCTGTCAAACGGGCTTGCTGCTGCTACTGCAGCAGCAGCTGCTGCTGCTGCAGCAGCAGCTGCTGCTGCTGCAGCAGCTGCTGCTGCAGCAGCTGCTGCTGCAGCTGCTGCAGCTGCTGCAGCAATTGCTGCTGCTGGCAGGACTTGCTGCCCTCCAGTTTCGCTGGTGGCCGCTTTGGGCGCAGCAACTGTAGCAGCAGCCAGCAGCTGCAGCAGCTGCAGCAGCTGCTGCTACTGCTGCGGCAGCAGCGCTGACTGCTGCTGCAGCAGCATCATTGCTGCTGGAGCAGCATCACTGACCGCTGCTGCTGCTGCGCTGCAGCAGCAGCATTTGGGACTGAGGCAGCAACTTGCTGTAGTTTTGGCTGCTCCGTAGCGCCGCCTTTATACCATTTGCATGCACAGAGCAGCAGCTGCTGCTGAGACTGGGGAAAAGCAGCAGCAGCAGCAGCGGCTGCAGCAGCTGCTGCTGAGACTGGGGAAAAGCAGCAGCAGCAGCAGCAGCGGCTGCTGCAGCTATAGATACAGCCACTTCGCCCGTAGTAAGGCCCTTGGGGGCCCCCAAAGGGTACCGGGGGCCCCCAGGGGCCCCACGAGGCCCTCTTGGGGGCCCCCAAAGAGTACCGGGGGCCCCCAAAGGGTACCGGGGGCCCCCAGGGGCCCCACGAGGCCCTCTTGGGGGCCCCCCAAAAGGCCCTTTTGAACTTCTCTGGGGGCCCCCTTAGGGGCCCCCACAGTGGCGCAGAAAAGCCCCAAAAGGGGCCCCACAGTGGTAGCCAAGCACCCTAGAGGGGTCCCTATAGGGGCCCCCTTAATCAGATAAGAAGTCCCAGGGGGCCCCTACGGGGGCCCCCATAGGGGCCCCCATTATTTAGTGGGGCCCCCTGTCTAATGAGGCCCACGGGGGCCCCCCTGTAGTCTAATGACCCCGTGGGGGCCCCCTTCTTGGGGGTCATTAATGGGGCCCCTAGAGAGTCTCTAACAGATGCCCAGCTTGGAGGCTTGAGGGCCAACAGGGGGGCCCCCTGGGGGCCCCTTTTGCCCGTATAGGGGCCTCGTGGGGGCCCCTATAGGGGCCCCCAGAGGGGCCCCCATAGGGGCCCGCACAGGGGCCCCCATAGGGTCATAGGGCCCCCATCGCAGCAAAATGCCGCTCAGGGGCCCCCAAGAGGGCCCCCCTTGAGGCCCCCAAGGGGCCCCCCTTGGGGACACCAAGGGGCCCCCTGGGGACCCCCAAGGGCCTCCTGGGGGGCCCCTGAGGGGCCCCTGGGGGCCCCCAAAGAGGCCCCTTAGGAACCCCTTGGGGTCCCCTGAGGGCCCCCAGGGGCCCCTCTGGGCATGAGCAAGGCACTTGCAGCCGTTGGCAGCAGCAGCAGCAGCAGCAGCAGCAGCAGCAGCAGCAAATGTTAGTGCTTCTTTCTTTTCCTTTTTTAAGTCTTTTAATTCCTTTTCTGGTCAGTTTCTTTGATAAAAAATAAAACAAATAAATGCCAATTTAACTGTCAATGAACTATACAATGATGAGTCAATCAAAAGAAGCAAAAAGATGTTAAGAACAACCCCTGGGCACTAGAGGCCGCGCGGAGCGCCAGCTGCTGCTGCCGCTGCTGCTGCTGCTGCGCTGCTGCTGCTTCTGCGCTGCTGCTGCTGCTGCGCTGCTGCTGCTGCTGCGCTGCTGTTGCCGCAGCAGCAGCAGCAGCCCCGCTTCGCCGAGGGTTTAGGGTTTAGGGTCACCAGACGGGTTCATTGCCGATAATGGCGATTTCCCTGATCTGCAGCAGCGCAGCAGCAGCAGCAGCAGCAGCAGCAAACAGAAGCAAAAAGAAAAAACAAATAAACAAAATTTCCCTTTTAAGTGCTCCTTGGTGATAATGAGGTGTCTGTACACCCCAAAAAGCATTTGCATTTCCCTATTTTAGTCAAAAACACTTTTTGCTCATTTGCTGCTGAAGTGCTGCTGCTGCTGCTGCAGCAACACTGCAGCACTGCAGCAGAGGCGCTGTGGGAACTTGAAGACCGCAGCAGCAGACAGCAGCAGCAGCACGCCGCAGCAACAGCCACAGCAGCGCTCCACCGCAGCAGCAGCAGCAGCAGCAGCAGGAAAGCCAGGAAGCAAAGCAGCCCGTTTTCGAGCTAGCGGCAGCAGCAACAATGAGAAATGAATGGAAAGTGGAATTAAATCAAAGTTTGAACATTTTAATTAAAATTAAAAAGTTCAATAAACATTTTAATTTTAATTTTAATTAAAATTGAAATTAAAATACTCAAAAATGAAGTACCATCCAAGGATAAAGAAGACCCGGCGCCTCGGGCTTGGGGTGTCTAGACACCGCAACGGAGTACACCACTCGCCGGATGTCATCTGCTGCTCCTTGAATTACTTTTTTTGTTTTTTGATTTCTCAAACAATTTATTTGTTGACATTCAAAACTGTACACAAACCACGGACTTTCCCCGCTCTCCACGCCGCTCCGACGCGCCCCTGCAGCAGCAGCAGCAGCAGCAGCAGCAGCAGCAGCAGCAGCAAGCATGCGCGCCAGCCGCCGCACAGCAGCAGCGTCAAAGACACAGCAGCAGCAGCAGCAGCAGCAGCAAAGATGCACACCCGCCACCGCGCAGCAGACGCGGAAAACTCCAACGGCAGCAACAGCAGCAGCAGCAACAGCAGCAGCAGCAGCAGCAGCAGCAACAGCAGCAGCAGCAGCAGCAGCAGCAGCAGCAGCAAAAGTAGCAGCAGCAGCAGCAGCCGCACCAAACGAAGTGTCTCCTCGTCTCCCAGCAAGTAGGCGCTAATGATGTGCTCAGCCACCACGCTCTGCAGCAGCTCGTGCAGCTCAGATAGCCTGCAGCAGCAGCAGCAGCAGCAGCAGCAGCAGCAGCAGCAGCAGATTGAAGAGGGGGCTGCAGCAGCTCTATGGAGGCCCTCGCGGAAGCGAAAACAGCAGCACCAGTCGTTGCAGCAGCACGGCCGCAGCAGCAAGACTGCAGCAGCACGACTGCAGCAGCAGCAGCAGCAGCAGCAGCAGCAGGGACACATGAAGAAAGCTGTAGAGACAGCGCTGCAGTGTATGTACACCTGAAAGTGGGGTCCAGGGCCTTCATTTCCCTTATCGATGCTGCTATTTCTGTCTCCTTAAAAAGCTGCCCCACAAGGGGATTCTCTGCATGCAAGCAGCAGCAACTCGCCCCACACACAACCTGCTGCTGCTGCTGCTGCTGCTGCTGCTGCGGTGCTGCTGCAGCGCAGCGCTTGCTGCTGCTGCTGTGACACACCAGCTGCAGCAGAAGCAGCAAAGGCTGCTGTCGCTGTCGCCAGCCAACACTGCAGTCCACCGCCCCGCCAGCCTGTGCTGCTGCTGCTGCTGCTGCTGCTTCTGCTGCTGCTGCTGCTGCTGCTGCTGCTGCTGCTACTTACCGAAGAAGTTTTGCAGGAAAGGCATGTCCCGGAGGCGGGATCCAAATCGATCCCAGGCGGTTTCGTTGGAGAGGACGAGGGCAGTTTGCTGCGGCTCTTCCTCCCCAGCATCATGCTGCTGCTGCTGCTGCTGCTGCTGCTGCTGCTGCTGCTGCTGGGGGTCGGCCGCGTCTTGCTGCTGCTGCGCGGCTTGCTGCTGCTGCTGCTGCAGCTGCTGCTTGTAGCGCTTGACGGCCATGCGCTGCCTCCACTGTGCTGCCTTCTGCACAGCCACGGGCTCGTCTCTGAAGACATTTGCTGCTTTTGCTGCTAGCTGCTGCAGCGCAGCAGCAGCAGCAGCAGCAGCGCGGAAAGCCCTGCTGCTGTGCCGGCCGATGGCTCGAAAAGTCTCCTTCTCCATTGCCTTGTCTTTCAGCTGCTGCTGCTTCTCCAGCAGTTGCAGCCGCAGCCGCCGCAGGTGCTGCAGCGCGCGGCCAGTGTGCTGCTGCGTGCCGCTTGCTGCTGCTGTTGCTGCTGCTGCAGCAGCAGCAGCAGCTTCCTGCAGCCGAGACCCCACAGTCTGCGTTTGCTTCGAAAGTGCTGAAGCCCGCAGCTCTTCCATGGCCTTCCGCAGCTCCGGGTTTTTCTGGAGGTCTTCTTGGACTTGGTCAAGTACCATTTTAATAAAGCTGTCGCTGCTGCTGCTGCTGCTGCTGCTGCTGCTGCTGCTGCTGCTGCTGTTGCTGCTGCTGCTGCGGCGCCCGCGAGCGCGCTGCTGGTCCTCTTTTCCCGCGTCTCCAGAGCCTTGGGGACCCGCGTTGCTGCTGCTGCTGCTGCTGCTGCTGCTGCTGCTGCTGAGGTGGCGCAGCAGCGCTGCTGCGGGCAGCCTGTGCTGCAGCAACTGCTGCTGCCGCTGCTGCAGCAGCAGCAGCAACTGCTGCTGCTGCAACAGACCTCCAGAGGCCCTAAAACCTCCAGACCCCAGTGCGCGGGCTGCAGCCCGGCGCGCAGCCGCCGGCAACGCCCTGTGCATCGTTTGTAAACCCTAAACCCTAAACCCTAAACCCTAAACCCTAAACCCTCATCAGCGGCCTACCCAGCAGCGAGGGTAGGCCGGGTCGAAGCAAAAAGCAGGGAAAAGAGTCCCGTGGTCCAGAAAGGGTTAAAGATATGCTTCTAAACCCTAAACCCTAAACCCTAAACCCTAAACCCTAAACCCTAAAACGGAGCCTGCTCGCGGCCTCGCTCCGGTGGCTGGTCGCTCTTTTTCGACTGGCTCTAAGAAAGCTGCATTTAAGCGAAATTCAGGGCTTCAAACCCTAAACCCTAAACCCTAAACCCTAAACCCTAGTTTACTAAGGCCAAACCCTAAACCCTTAAACACCACAGAACTCCAGCTTCTGTGGGGCCAGCAACGGGGCTGCCTTGGCGGGCGCTCTTCGACTGTGAAGGTCACGGCGGTTTAGGGTTTAGGGTTTAGGGTTTAGGGTTTAGGGTTTAGGGCTTGCGGCGAAGGGTTTAGGATCTAGGGTTTAGGGTTTGTAATCGTTCAAAAGCGAGGGAGCGCCTATGGCTTGCTGTGCCTCAGACCGTCTGGCCGCTGTACCTAGGGTTTAGGGTTTAGGGTTTAGGGTTTAGGGTTTGCCAGCAAAGTAAACCCCAAAGAACTGTAATTTTTTCTAAATATTTATTTCTGTTCAAGATTTTCATTGTTGTTTCTTCATGCACACAAAACCTCGAAAGATCTGCTGCTGCTGCTGCTGCTGCTGCTGCTGCTGCTGCTGCTGCTGCTGCTGCTTTGAACTTAGCGTTTGTTGGCATTGTTTTTGTGTTCGCTGTTGCTGCCAGCTTCAGGCCTTCGCCGGCCGCCGGTGCTAGGGCTGCCGCTGCTGTTGATGCTGCTGTTGCTGTTGCTTCTGCTGCTGCTGCTGTTGCTGCTGCTTCTGCTGCTGCTGCTGCTGCAGCTTCTGGGGCTCCTGGTGTCGTTGCTGCTGAGCCCCTGCTGCCTCTAGTTGACCTTTGCTGCTGCACCTGCTGCCTGGACTCTGCTGCTGCTGCTGCCCTCCAGGAGGTTGTTGCAGCCTCTGCTTAGCGTGTGCTGCTGCTGCTGCTGCTGCTGCAGCGTAGCCTCAGCAGCAGCAGGCTGCTGCTCTTGCTGCTGCTGCTGCGGCCTCCTGCATCAGGCGCTGCGCAGCAGCTGAATGGCCTCTAGTAGAGTTGTGGCTGAGACATAACAAACGCAGATGAGCCAGCTCCCCCGCTGTTGCTGCTGCTGCTGTGCTGCTGCTGCTGCTGCTGCGGTGTTGCTGCTGCTGCTGCTGCTGCTGCTGCTGCTGCTGAATTGCTCACCCATGCATATCAGCAATCCTACGAGCTGGAAGGAACCCCACTTCCGATTTGCAGCTTCACCTGGTAGCAGCCCAAAGGCAGGCAGCAGCAGCAGCAGCAGCAGCAGCAGCAGCAGCACAGCGGCATTTTGTTGCAAATCTCCTGCCGGCTACCCAGTTAGCTAGCTAGGTAGCTAGCTAGGCAGCTAGCTAGGCAGCTAGCTAGGTAGCTAGCTAGCTAGGTAGGTGGCTAGCTGGCTAGCTAACCGCTGAAGTAGCTGTCTAAGAGGCCCCCTTCGTGTGTAGCTAGCTAGCTCCTCAAGTCCAGCTAGCTGGCCAGCTAGCTGTTAAGTCATTTGGCTAGCTAGCCATGTCCTTAGAGAGCTTCTCAGCCAACTATCTCTGCGATTCTGGCTAGCTAGCTAAGTTTGCCTGTCTGCGTAGCTAGCTAAGAAGCTCCCCTAGCATGTGGCTAGCTAGCCAGGAAGCTCTCTAAGTGATTGCCTGGCTAGCCAAGAAGCTAGCCAGCTAGCTGCCTAGCTAGCTAAGAAGCTCTCTCAGCATCAGGGCAGCTAGCTAGCCAGCTTTCCAGCTAGCTCTCCAGCTAGCTCTGTACGTTCCTGGCTAGCTAGCCCAAAAGCTCTGCAACTATCTGGCTAGCTAGCTAAGAAACTCGGCAGCTAGCTAGCTAGCTAGCTAGCTAGCTGCTACATAGCCCCCTACGCGTCCAGCTAGGAGTCCACGAAGTCCGCCACCTCGAAAGCTAGCTAGCCAGCTAGCTAGCCAGCTAGCTAGCTAGCACGCCCGCCAGCTAGGTACATGGCTAGCTAGCTGGCTAGCTAGGTAGCTGGCTAGCTAGCTAGGTAGGTAGCTGGCTAGCTAGGTAGCTGGCTAGCTAGCTAGCTAGGTAGCTGGCTAGCTAGCTAGCTAGCTAGCTAGCTGCTGACCTGAGTAGTAGCCGAGGGCGTAGACGAAAGTGCCGAGGAGAAACAAAAGGCCTCCGAAGGCCGAAGCCAACGGACTCGCGAGGCCCCCAGCCAGCAGCAAAGGAATGAACACTGTGTACATCTCCACGGCGTGCTGCAGCAGCAGCAGCAGCAGCAGCAGCAGCAGCGGAAAGCCATGCAGCAGCAGCCACGGGCCGTGCAGCAACAGCAGCAGGAGCCCATGCAGCTGCAGCAGCGGCAGCAGCAGCAACAAAAGCGGTATCAGCCTGCAGCAGCAGCAGCAGCAGCAGCAGCAGCAGCGGAAAGCCATGCAGCAGCAGCCACGGGCCGTGCAGCAACAGCAGCAGGAGCCCATGCAGCTGCAGCAGCGGCAGCAGCAGCAACAAAAGCGGTATCAGCAGCAGCAGCAGCAGCTGCTGCAGCAGCAGCAGCAGCAGCAGCTGCAGCAGCAGCAGCTGCTGCAGCAGCAGCAGCAGCAGCAGCTGCAGCAGCAGCAGCTGCTGCAGCAGCGGAAAGCCATGCAGCAGCAGCCACGGCCGTGCAGCAACAGCAGCAGCAGCCCATGCAGCTGCAGCAGCGGCAGCAGCAGCAACAAAAGCGGTAACAGCAGCAGCAGCAGCACAAGCAGCAGCAGCAGCAGCACAAGCAGCAGCAGCAGCAGCAGCAGCAGCAGCAGCAGGTCTCGCCTGGTGGGCTCTTTGGTAGCAATTGAACAAATCGCATTCTCTGGCGGAGAGCCGCAGCAAACTGGCGTTGGCGTCTTCGCTGAGGTCTCC